GGCCCCGACCACTGCCGCTCGACCTGACCGGAGAAAACCGTAGCAGGAAGCTAGCGAAGTCGTAGTATATATCGTCAAATAGAACTGCCCGGTACCGTAGGCAGAGAGGGAGAAGAGGACAACAAACGAGGGGCTGTGACAAACTGTTTCGTCGGAGTTTCACCGACTCATCTATATATATATCTGTGTGTGGGTGTGGGTGTCTGGGAATCCCCCCACCACTCTCGAAATGTGCAAATGAGAATGAACTTCCCGCCAGAACATGGCCAGATGCACCCGCCACATTTTTTCAGCATTTTAAAGAGAAATGAGAATGAACTTCCCGCCAGAACATGGCCCGATGCACCCGCCACATTAAAGACTTCGTTTCTCGAAGTGCGCGCCCACCCTCTCCCCGGTGGGGGGGTGGGGAGGGGGAGAGAGAGAGAGAGAGAGAGAGAGAGAGAGAGAGAGGGTCCTGGTCCACCCCTCCCTCACCACTTTCCTATATTCCCTCTTTCCCGTTTCCCTCCCCCCTGCCGTCGCCTAAGTAACCCTCCGCGCATTTTTTCAATTAAAAGAAGTACAAAATCAAGCAATCAATTAACCAATCAAAGAATCAACGTGATTGGCTTCTTCGTTGATTGATTGATTTTTTTTTATTTTTTTTTTGGGTGTGTGTGTGTGTGAGAGAGAGAGAGAGAGAGGTGTCCCCCCCCCCCCCCTTCACCACTTGCCTCCCTTCCCTCCTTCCCCTTTCCCTCCCCCCTGAGGCCGCGTAAATTTAACCCTCCGCGCGTTTTTTCAAAAAAAAAAAGAAAGAAAACGAAGAAAATCAATCAATCAGTTAACCAACCATTTAAACTTGATTGGTTGATTGATTGATTGATCGATTTGTTGACAGAGAGAGAGAGAGAGTTCCCGTTCCCCCTCCCCTTCCCTCACCTCTCTCATCCCTTCCCTCCTTCACGTTTCCCTTCCCCCCTGCCTGCACGTTTTTCTCTAAGCCTCCCATCGCACGTTTTCTCCAGAGAAGGTCCCGGTTTCCCCCCCCTTCCCCCCTCGCCACTTTCCTCCCTTCCCTCCTTCCCCTTCCCCTTTCCCTTTCCCCTGCGGCCACGTAAATTTAACCCTCCGCGGGTTTTTGAAAAAAAAAAAAAAAAGTCGATTAATCAATTGAACAATCAACCGATCAACTTGATTGGTTCATTGATTGATTGGTTGATTGATTGATTGATTGATTGATTGATTGGTTCATTGATTGATTGATTGATTGATTGATTGATTGGTTGGTTGATTTGTTGAGAGAGAGAGAGAGAGAGTGGGTCCCCGTTCAACCCCCC